TGGTTGGATACGCGGACGCGGATGACGCGGATGACCGAGAGAGCCGAACCAGCACTAGTGGCTACGTTTTCGTGCTCGGCGGGGCTGATGTTTCGTGAGCAAGCCAGAGAATCAAGTGCGTGACATTGTCATCAACTGAATCGGAGTACATCGCTGCAACGGAAGCCGGGAAGGAAGCACAACGACTTCGCTTTCAGCTTGCGGAGTTCAAACTTTTGGACCCGAAAACGCCTACCGTCATCAACATCGACAACTCTTCGGCCATCGCGGTTGCAGAAGGGTTGGGGCTCAAGGGGAGTCTCAAACACATGGAGAGGCGGTACATCTGGCTGCAGCAGTTGGTGAAGCGCAAGAAATTCGCGCTGAAGTACATTCCGACGAGCGAGCAACCCGCGGATTACCTCACGAAGGCACTGCATTCCCCGGCCTTCACTCGTTGTGGCGTTGCTGTTGGGCAAGTCACTCTTGCGGACGGCGAAAATGACAACACGCGAAATTAGGTGCCACGTTCTTCAACGTGGCTGGTGCGGTGAGTATGCGTGTGACGGCTATACGCGGACGAATTTTCGTTTCGTCACCCTGTTGTATTTTATTAGTTAGCTTTTCGCTTTTTGTGGTGTGCTAACTCCTCAGTTGCCCAGGCACGAGCAGGGCAGGGGAGTGTTGACGCGAAAGGCCCTGCACGAGCCTGTTTTCCGTGTTCGAGGGCTTCGAGCGAAAAGTGTCCGCGCAGGAGAGCGCGTCCCGCAGCCGCGAAATTGTTCGCACTGCATTCTGGGTTCGCGTCTGCGCGGGATCGAGATTTTGCGTCTGTGCTGGGGCGAGTTTTCGCGCCCCTGGGAGGTTTCGCGTTGGATCACCGTTGCGGGATTTCCCGCAGGTTACGAAACGGGAGGAGGCGCGGAGAGGTGTACTTGGCGAAATCTGACTAAGTCCTGACTTCTAGAGGGATAACTCGCGCAGTACACTCCGCCGCCGACATTGACCCGCGAAACAGAAACGGACAGAATCGAAGGAAGTGACTATATTGCACAAGCGAAGCATGTGTAAATGCAAATGTTGCAGAAACATGAACAACTACTCCTAGTTAGGTAGAAATTTACCTGACATGTTAATTTCACCTGCCGTTGCTGACTTGGCAACGCACATGCTAGAATAGTTGTCGGAACGTTTTGCGTGGACGTTCGCGCCTATCGTCGCTTCGTTCCTATATGGTTCTGGTCCTTCCCATTGTACTCTATTATTCTCTTTTCTATAGTGAAGCTATGTGCAAGCTTTTTCTCAACACTTAGAATTTTCACAAGGCATTACAACAAGATTTCGTGCCCCAACCTAGAGTGCACATTTCGTGACGGATTCCCGTGCCCACAATTTCGTGCCTTAGCCTTCCCGAAACTTAGAAATCTCCGCAGCATGTCTGGAGGAACGGGATACAAAGGGGTGCTGAAAATGGTTCGGATTGAGCCACCGGATATTCACCAGGAGGAAATGAAAATGGGTGTACCAGAGCGAATGCCAAGGGATGCTGGGGTCTGCCAGGGAATGCTCACGAGAATTAGGGTCTTTCTAAGGCATGCTAGGACGCTGGAAGCAAGAAATGCTGTTGGATGTTACCAGTAAGATGCTGCTGAGGAATGCTTGGTGCTGGAGTAATGGCTGGGGAATGCTTGGGTGATGTGGTAATGGCTGAGGAGTGCTTGAGTAATGGCTGGAGAATGCTTGGGTCTTGCAGAGGAGTGTTGCTGAAATGCCAGTCGCAACCAAGAACTGAAGAAGGCTGTTAGGGTCCTGCTAAGGGATGCTCAATGAAAGTAAGGTGACGAGTGCTGACTGTGATTCAAGTAAGTAGGTGAAGCTGTATATAGTATGATATCTGGGGTCGTACTGAGTTGTCTGAGGATGAAAAGCTGAATACCGTGAGAAACATGGTCGTGCTGAAGAATGTCTACAGTGGTAATTGGGTTATGCTGAAATATGAGGCTGTTCAGAATGGAGAAAACAGTGCTGATGGTTTTGAATTGTCGAGGGTTATGCAGTTCAATAGCTATGGTCATTCTGCTGAATTTGTTCAACACTCATGTACACCTGATCCTACTTTGTGGCAGTGCTGGTCTTTGCTGCTTGTTTAGAGCACGTCCATTGATACAAAAGTGATATGTCCATGCACTGAGATGCATGGTTCCATGCACTGATATGCATGGTTCCATGCACTGAGATGCATGGTTCCATGCACTGAGATGCATGGTTCCATGCACTGAGATGCATGGTTCCATGCAGTGAGATGCATGGTTCCATGCACTTAGATGCATGGTTCCATGCACTGAGATGCATGGTTCCATGCACTGAGATGCATGGGTCCATGCACTGAGACGCATGGGTCCATGCACTGAGATGCATGGGTCCATGCACTGAGATGCATGGGTCCATGCACTGAGATGCATGGTTCCATGCACTGAGATGAATGGTTCCATGCACTTAGATGCATGGTTCCATGCACTGAGATGCGTGGTTCCATGCACTGAGATGAATGGTTCCATGCACTGAGATGCATGGTTCCATGCACTGAGCTGCATGGTTCCATGCACTGAGATGCATCGTTCCTTGCACTGAGCTGCATCGTTCCACGCACTGAGCTGCGTGGTTCCACGCACTGAGATGCATGGTTCCATGCACTGAGATGCATGGTTCCATGCACCGAGATGCATGGTTCCATGCACTGAGATGCATGGGTCCATGCACTGAGATGCATGGGTCCATGCACTGAGATGCATGGTTCCATGCACTGAGATGCATGGTTCCATGCACTGAGATGCATGGTTCCATGCACTGAGATGCTTGGTTCCATGCACTGAGATGCATGGTTCCATGCACTGAGATGCATGGTTCCATGCACTGAGATGCATGGTTCCATGCACTGAGATGCATGGTTCCATGCACTGAGATGCATGGTTCCATGCATTGAGATGCATGGTTCCATGCACTGAGTTGCATGGTTCCATGCGGGTCCATGCACTGAGATGCATGGTTCCATGCACTGAGATGAATGGTTCCACGCACTGAGATGCATGGTTCCATGCATTGAGATGCATGGTTCCACGCACTGAGATGCATGGTTCCATGCACTGAGATGCATGGTTCCACGAACTGAGATGCATGGTTCCATGCACTGAGATGCATGGTTCCACGCACTGAGATGCATGGTTCCGTGCACTGAGATGCATGGTTCTGTGCATTGAGATGCATGGTTCCATGAACTGAGATGCATGGTTCCATGAACTGAGATGCATGGTTCCATACACTGAGATGCATGGTTCCATACACTGAGATGCATGGGTCCATGCACTGAGATGCATGGGTCCATGCACTGAGATGCATGGTTCCATGCACTGAGATGAATGTTTCCATGCACTGAGATGCATGGTTCCATGCACTGAGATGCATGGTTCCATGCACTGAGATGCATGGTTCCATGCACTGAGATGCATGGTTCTATGCACAGAGATGGATGGTTCCATGCATTGAGATGCATGGTTCCATGCACTGAGATGCATGGTTCCATGCACTGAGATGCATGGTTCCATGCACTGAGATGCATGGTTCCATGCACTGAGATGCATGGTTTCGTGCACTGAGATGCATGGTTCCATGCACTGAGACGCATGGTTCCATGCACTGAGATGCATGGTTTCGCGCACTGAGATGAGTTGTTCCAACTTCCATGCACTGAGATGAATGGTTCCATGCACAGACAGCATGTTTCGGGATGTCCCGCAGCAGCTTGCAAGAGCTTGTAACAGGGTTCAAATACACACATGCAAGACTTGCCTCTCACGCGTACAGGAAGACGTGGTTCTAGGGACAGGCATGCAGGAGTATTTTGCACACGCTAGACATTCTCATATATAAGAGATTCTTGTGTTTCTTTTTTCAACTTGGTCAGAGCCGAAGTAGGTAGGAAGGGATCCTATGTACAAGGAAGGGTGGGACCTAAGCACAAGCAGGCAGTGGTTTCCAACAAGAGTTGTCTTTCCCTGGTTTGAACGAGCCTCGCTTCAGCTGGCTCAGAGCAGGCCCAAACTATCAGATGTACAGGAAGACATGGTTCTAGGCACAGGCAGGCAAGGTTGGTCCGCACAGGCTAGATGTTCCCATATTTAAAGAATACTTGAAAACTTTGTGCTTTTGTTCCGCTTGGTCAGGATGTAGGGAGGGATCATATGCACAAGGGAGGGTGGGACCTATGCACAAGCAGCGAGTGGTATCCCACACAGGTTGTCATTCCTTGGTTTGAACGAGCTTCTCTTCAGCTTGCTCAGAGCAGCCGAAACAGCCCCTGATAGCCGATTCCCTGCCAGGCGCACTTGCCGTACCCTTGCTGGCGAAACCGCGGGTATTGTCCCCGATACCCTGTTATATGACAACCCGAGACCCTGCAACCATTTCATGTTGCTCACACCTGCGGGGATCGTTCTCGTGAGGGCGTTCTTGTCAAGGGTCAGAAGCTTGAGGCGGGTAAAGGAGCTGACTGTAGCGGGGATGGGGCCGGAGAGGCGGTTGGAGGAGAGGTAGAGATATTTGAGGGAGGCGGAGCAGGAGGGGGAGAGCGGGGTGGGCGGGCCGGAGAGGGCGTTAGAGGCGAGACTGAGGATGGTGAGGGCCTGCTTCGTCTCAAAAATTGGGGGTTGGCCCAACTCGGGCTCGGACGCTATGCGGGGCGGATCTGTCGGTGCCCAAAATCAACAAAGGGTGGGAGGCAATTGAACCACCAAGCACGACAGGTAGCGTGACCATAACATGCTTGCGTGTACCGTGCTTGCCGTGTCGGTTTGGTAAAGCGCCGAGACCGTTTTTTCCATGTCGTTGTTTGACCGTATCACCTGATACCCGCATATTCTATCATCGCGCAGGAGAAAGTGGAGGCGGCGAGGATGTACATCGTGCACGTTTGTCCGGACGACGACACGACGTTCTGGCCCGACGACACCCTCGTCAAGCGCTCTATGGCACACGCGATGGAGTTTATCGAAAAGGAAGACCTTTCTCGCCTCAATCTGGTGCTGGAGCTGGACAAGCAGAGAGGCGCGATCATCACGCACACGATGCAGAAATTCCGGTCGGATACGTGGCTCATTGCGCGCGCCAACTTTCGGATCCTGAACGGCATGGCGTATACGAAGCCAGCATCGGCTCGGATCGCGATACCTGCTGTTCCAGACCCATCAGTGGTCAACCCGAAGTCAGAAGAGGAGTTCGTCACGAAGTACGATGCGAGTAAGTCAGACGTGCCAGAAGGGAAAATGTGGGAGGGCACGGTAAATGTTATGCATGAAGCACACAATTCCCCCCCGACCCCCCTCCTGCTCCCTCCTTCGCATGTGCCCTACTGCAGAGCCCTATTCGCATGAGCTAATGACGTGGATCTGTGCAGAGGACACCCCCGAGATGCCCTTCTCCTCCGACGCCTTTGACCAGGGAATATATGCTCCGTTCAAGAAGGGCGTCAGCACACCGTTGGTGGTGAAGTTATATTCTGTTGCTTTTTGGCTTTTTGGGGTAAGTGTAGGAAGAAGTCTATAACGAGGCGCCAACGCGAGTTGTCTAACAAACCTTATTCTTGCCTGTCTTATGATCACAGACCGAGACACCCCTGCAGAAGAAGACATCACTGAAGAAGAGCCGCCCCCAAAACGGCACCACCGTGCAGTGGTACCATGGACGCCTGAAGGCGTGGGCGCGGCACGCCATCATTGAGCGTACGGCGGAAAGGGGCCCATGGTGGAAAGCAAGGCACAAAGCGTGGGCATTCAAACACCACGCGCGACTGTTAATTTTGGACGATGGGCTGTTCCTTGGGCCCCTGGTGGAGGAAGATGCTTCCCGTTAGGCAAGTCGCGTTTGAAGGTCAACCCATCTCCGTTCCAAGATTGTCTGATAAGCAAGGTCGGTTTTGCCCTGCTTGAGTACGTGTAAATGAGTGGCCGTTCACCTGGGAGATGTAAGTAGAGGGCTGTAGCAGAGTGTTTGTGTGGATATGCGTGTAAGCAACCTATGAATAAAATCATTTGGCATTTATCAATGACCTAGCAACAAGGGAAAAGGCACCAATGTGTATCGGGCGGGTAGTGTATAGGGCAGCTTACCCTGATCGGCGTGAATTATGAAAATGCCGGGAATGCGTAGCATGATAATGGATTAACTCATATGTGGTTAAATCAATATGTATACTATCCCAATCTAATATGTGACTATAGGTGAGGTGCATGTAGCTATTTTAACTTAAAGCGCTCCAGCTTCCTTATTATATGTCGAATAAGGGATAGTGTCACTTTTTGTAACTAATAGGGTTACACAAGTGACGTGGTCAGAACACGTGTACCACTAGGATGGTGAGTTCAAGTCCTCTCGAAGGCGATCCTTGGCGAGTAGGCGGACGACTTGTTGGCAACGACGGTGCATACATCGCGCGGTTCCTCTGGGTAAGTTGTTTACTTTGAACGTTACCTGGTGGAGTACCCGCGGGTGAGCCACACGCAGGTAACCCCGGGGCTTGTTCAAAGTTACCTCAAGGTAACAAATGGGCCCCCAGATTTTTGAGACGTTGCCCTGGCAGAAGGCGGGGATGGGGCCTGAGGGGTGGGGAGATGAAGAGAGAGAGGAGAGAGGGGGTGAGTGGGAATCTGAAGGGTGGGGATGGGATGAAGGAGGAAGTTAAATGGTGGGGTCTGAGGGATGGGGCAGCGGAAGCAGAAGGAGAAGAGTGGGTAACAGGTATGGAAAGAACAGAGAGGGTGGGAGAGTGCGCTTCTATAAACAGTAGAATGATTTGGTCAAATCTGAAGCTCTCCAGTCAGCTCACCTGTCAGAGCGTTGGCCCCGAGGTCCAAGTATTTCAGCCGGGGTAAAGTGGCGAGGCGTGGGGGAATGCTCCCTGTGAACTTGTTGAATCCGAGGTCCAGAGCAGTGATGTCCGTGGGCAGTTTCGAAAACGGCTGCAAGCTGCCCGAGAAACTGTTGTGGCTTAGAAAGAGGCCATTCGTAAAGGAACTCCCGAACTTGAAACAGTTGGCTGGAACGGCTCCTGTCAGTCGATTATGCGAAAAATCAGTCGCTACTCTGCTCCGATCGCACACGATTCGCGGGAACGAGCCCGAACATCGCACCTTTTCCTGAGTATTCCCGCCAATATCTGGAAGTCAGGTTCGAATGTGCCTGACAGTTGGCTTCTCGATGTTGGTGCGAAATACTGGGTAGCGATTGCATGGAAACACAGTGTGCTTGAAGTGTTCGAGAATGCTGGAGCTTCGCCAATCACGGGCAGACTGCTGGGAGTCACGCGAAATGTTGCCATGTCAGCAGGATTAGGAAGGAATGTTGTTAAACATGTCATTTCGTAACATTTCATTATTTGTACTAGGGTCTAAAAACGGATAAAAGTTTACCCCCTTTAGAGTCACAAAAGATACGACACTATATGGAATCAAATTTGGAATAGATACATCCGTTATACTCAAATTGGCATGGAATAGATACATCCGTGATACTCAAAACTTGGTACACTAATATACGCGAGCACGTAAAACAATTTCTCAAATGCTAATTTCTAATCGCTATATTCAATAAATTAGGCTGGATTAAAAATCACAATATGATTAGGCAGTACATTTTACCTACGCCAATTGAGGACACACACTTCACTGAAATCATAATGACCAGCTATAAGAGGAATATTGGCCCTGTCAATCCACCGCTTATCTCGGCCTTCCTGATGTCCAATTCCCGCTTGTTTGATGACTGTTCCGAATGCAGACTATTCATGCTTGTGATCATGCTGTTCTCAATCTGGCGGACAACACGAAGAGTTGATCAGTACAGAAAAGGGAGCTTTATATTTAATATATAAACAGTTCAAATCACTCACCGCATACAGGGTGTAGCAGACTTGATCGATCGTGAGCGCAACATCTGTTAAACATACAAGCAGTAGGACCTAGGCTTAGTAGCCTAGGTTACAGTAGGACTACAACGGAGGCGCCAAGTACGAGTGAGAGTTAAGCAGAAACAAGAATTGAGAAAAGGATGGTTGGACTAGCAAGCAGGTTGGTACAAATAGCAAACCCTAACGGGTTGTACTCACTATTGAGTACCCCACTGCAGGCTAGACAAATAACATACTCTGACACACCCCCATAGGCAAAGTGGGGTATAATCAGTACAGCATGAAGTCATAAAATAGTTCACAAGCCCAAGTAAAGCTAGGGGTAGTCACAGAGGCCATGTGAGGAGGAGGAGGGACTGTGAGAGGAGAGGAGATGGGAGGCGACGGCGGAAGCTGCAGACACACAGGAGCTGCTGGCTCAGTGGCTACCGAAGCAATGGCCCGGACTGCAGGAGTAACTGGCTCCGCGGAGATTGTAGCCTCCTGACTGGAGCAACTGACCCACAGGCGACTGGCAACTACCGGAGATTGTAGCCTCCGGACTACTAGTGCTGCTGGCGACACGACTGCGACCTCCGCTTAACCTCCGCCAACTGCCCCACGCCCCTATTACACACCCCCTGCTGAACCCCTAGCTCCACTGCCACGTCACCCCCCCCAGGGCCACTCCCCTCGGCTTCCACACCTCCACCCCCCCAGCAGCAGCTGCAGCAGTGGGAGACGAAAAAGGAGGAGGGGAAAGGGAAGGGGAGCACCCACACCTCGCACCCCCATGCTCGCCATCCCACACCCCCACCACCGCGGAACGCACGGCGGAATGGGAGCAATGGGCAGCACGGGGGGGGACGGGACGGGCTGCAGGGATGGGCCGCGGGCTGCTGCAGGGGTGGCTCGCGCGGATCCTGGGGCGGCTGCTGCAGGCACGGGCTGCTCCAGGGGCGGCTGCTGCAGGTGCGGGCTGCTCCAGGGGCGGCCGCTGCAGGTGAAAGGTAGGAGGGAGGGGGGGGGGGGAGAGGAGCGCGGCCCCCAGGGCGCCCCGACGGGCGACGAGAAAGGGAGCCGCGCGGGCCCCCAAGAGCGCCTCGACGGGCGACGGAAGGGGACCGCGCGCGGGCCCCCGCGGTCGCCACGACGGGCGACGGGAGGGGAAGCCACGCAGGCCCCTGAGAGCGCCTCGACGGGCGACGAGAGGGGACCGCGCGTGGGCCCCCGTGGTCGCCACGACGGGCGACGGGAGGGGAGGCCGCGCGGGCTCCCGAGAGCGCCTCGACGGGCGACGGAAGGGGACCGCGCGCGGCCCCCGTGGTCGCCACGACGGGCGACGGGAGGGGAGGCCGCGCGGGCCCCCGAGAGCGCCTCGACGGGCGACGGGAGGGGACCGCGCATGCCCCCCAAGGGCACCACGACGGGTGCCACGGAAGGGTAAACCGCCACGCGCCCCGAGCGCGCAGCGAGCAGAAACCCTAAAATTAGTGCCGCGCACTACGGGGTGCGCGGCGGACAGAATGGCAGCGGAAGCAGGTGGTGGGCCCATACAGGAAGGCGGCAAAGACATGCCGCCCTCTGATACCATGTTAAATATACAAGCAGTAGAACCTTGGCTTTGTATCCTAGGTCACAGTAGGACTACAACGGAGGCGCCAAGTACGAGCGAGAGTTAAGCAGAAACAAGAATTGAGAAAAGGATGGTTGGACTAGCTAGCAGGTTGGTACAAATAGCAAACCCTAACGGGCTGTACTCACTATTGAGTACCCCACTGCAGGCTAGACAAACAACATACTCTGACAACATCTTCAGGGGGTTCCTTGTACCACACACTGGCGGCGGTGATAAAGGCTGGGCTAGCTAGGGGATTTTCACCCAGAGCATGCCATGGCAGGCCAAACAACTCTGCAGCGACCAAAAAAGAAAAAATCAGAGTAGTCACAAAGAATGAAATCAGCACATCAGTAACTCACCACACAGGTAGTTCGTAGCGTAGTTCCGTCGAGCGTCGACGTCATTCGGGACGACTTTGTCAAGAAGATCTTTGAGAAGAGCATTGCACAGTGCCGAAATTTGGTGCTAAGCTTCCCTCTCCTGCCATTGCAAAGAGTTATCATTTTATCGCCCCAATTTTTGTTCTTAAAATCAGCTTTGAACCTAGCAGCCTCTTCGACCTGCACATCTAGCACATCGGACAAAACGGCCTTGAACTCTTCGGCGGACGGATAGATCCTCCGATTCTCGAGCTTCGCACCGTTCAACAGCGTGTCAAACACTTCGCCAAACTTCTCCTGCAGCAAAGAGCGACGGAAGAGTTTGTTAGCTTGATGTTGGAAAGCACTGATGTGAAAACGGAATGGTTAACGAATTGGTTAACTAAACACACCTGGACTTGAACATCAGACCCCCAGCTAGGTAGATTGATGTTTTTAGAAAGTTCGGTGACGGTTTTGAGGAGGGCTCGCTGTGTTTCTTCGGTGTGCCGAAGCCTCTCGTTGACGCTGTCTAGCGTATCGACAATGTTCGCGAGTGTAACGCGAATACTTGCCTCCAGTGAGTTGAACGTGTTTGCTTCTCGATGATACACGTTCCGATCAGACAAAATTGGGGTCCCTGAAAAGGAAAACAATAAAACGGTTTAGTAAGTGTAACACACTTGAACAAAACCAATAAATTTCGTGGGTTGAAAAGGCAAAGTACCAGTGCGGACGACGTTGAGGTCGGACCCCGAGGCAGCATGGTTGTCGTGAGAACCGTCTTCCTGAGAACCTATCACGTTCTCTGCGCTGACGTTCGTTGCAGTAACTCCAACCATGGTAGCACCATTAGTTACCACGGCTGAATCACTAGCAACCGTTGGAGGACCACTTGCGGCAGGTGCAGGACTACCAACCAAGGGAGAAGGGTTGACTGGTGTACCTGCCTGGGTAGTTTTTTGTGCTTTGATTAACTCTCCATTTGATACTACTCGGCCGCGTGAACCAGGGTACTCAGTTTCGTAATTACAAAACCTAGCAGGGAGGTTCTTCTTCCTCTTCGCACGACCCTCTAGAAACTCACGAGGGAGATCAGCCATGAGGGGACGAGGATCCGCTGGTGGAGAGAGAGTGAGGACAGCGATGGAAACGAAAGGTGATTGATGGTTGTGGGGCAGTATTACTTTTTTTATAAATACCCCGTCCAAAGCGTATAACACCAGGAATAGCTGGTGCACACATGCCATATGGTAGAGAGCAGGGAAGTAGGGCTACCCGTTGGCTTTTACCGTTGTGGGTCTGTTTAGGCGGGATTCTGCAAGCACAAGCGGTGCGTGAAAGTGTCTGTTAATGTGGCTACTGGCGAATTAGCGAGCAAATGGGCATGGCACAGTTTCCCCAACGATACAGAAAGAACAGTGTATTTTCTGACTCGCTTTAGCACCTGGAACGAGGTCAGAATGACGTGGACAGAACACGTCGGTGTTTCTGGACTTTAGCGAACTGCCGATTAGATCGGACGAGCAGATACAGCACACATTTTTTTTCGAGATATCTTTTTTGAGTTGTTCATAAGAATGTTTATATTGTTCTGCAGTGCTGCAACGTCCAATCACGCAAAAAAATACATTGACCATGCCCACATTTTGATCGACAAAAACAGTCAACATGCCCACATGTCAACAGTCGGAAACATCCAGCTGTCAACGCTGCACATCGATGGTGGGCGTTTTTGTCGCGCAACTAGCCAGCAGGGCAAACCGAGTCGACTTTGTGAAGCACAGTGTCAGAGAGTTGCTACAGTTTTCGCGCCTGTCCTTTCGCACGGCGCCAGCCAGTGAGTGTTGCTCGGCTATCCAGCAAGGCAACAGCTCACCATAAGACTTGGTGCAGAAATCCTGCCGAAAAGGTAATGTACACTGCACCAAGCCCACTGACCAACTGCCAACGCGATAGAAAACATGCTGGCACAAAGAGACAACACGAAAGTGATAATGCTGCCAAACAGTGCCGCAGTTAACAATCAAGACAGCTGTGTTAAAAAAACAAACAAGAAACCGATTTCGTCACCACGGCCTAGTATACCGAGAGTTTAAAAGTCAGCGTAAACATAAGATTCGAACCTCGCACGGCAGAACATGGCCAGTGTTTAGCAAAACAGTGTCGCAGTCACGACATTGAAATCCTCGCAGGTCCGCGTGAGAAAACAAACAGATCTGAATGAACAACATATGCTCTTCACATAATGGTTCGCTAAGAATGGGGCTAATTTGGTCCGCATGGGTTTCCTACTTATGAAAGGGGTGCAACGATTGTGAAAGGCTGCATACGATTAAAAAAAAAAAAAAACCAGTGAGTTCAGGAGTTTTTCAGTAGAATTTGAACTTATTGAGGACAAACTTATCCCCAGCAATAGGAACCACATGAGCCACCCTCAAAATACTGTCAATCTCCACCACCTGATATTCATTATCCGGTTCCTCCCACCTTAGCACAGGACAATGGGATGCATGCACCTCGTAGGTAACACGGTAGAACCTAACAAACGCACGCTCCTTCTGGTCCGCCAACTCTGCTGCTGGATCCTTTGGTGCAACTACGAACAAGAGCAGCAACCGCGCATACCAGATCACATCCTTGGGCTTCCTCGTGCCATCCGGTAACACTTCCACCTCAGATCCCAAAACAGCAACATCACTGAACCAAGGTGCCTTCATGAACATTGGAGTTGCCCGCACATAGTGCGTTTGACTAGAATACTTTGTGAAGTCCTCATCACCTTGTATAGCCAAGCCCTTTCTGACTTGGATTTCGTTGCTTAATTCAACGCCATCGGCTTGTCGTTGTGACAACAAGGCGCGGAGCTGCAACATGTCGCCAGGTGCTGCTGTTTCGTATTCCCGCCAAAGATCGCCACCAACAAATCGAGAGTCCCTCCAGTTCACCTTGTGCGACGTGGCCACGAGTGTGTTTCTCCCAGTTTCCATGGCCTGCGGTCGGGATTGGGGTGCACTTGTTATAAAACAGAGACAAGATGCTTAGAAGCAGTTCAGAGGACTATGTTATACCGTGCATCATCTATCTTTTGTAGGGCGACCATTCGATGGTGTGAATCCTCCTTGTTGTGGTCCGAGTCATCAAGAGCTTGCAGCATTCGTGCCATGACACTATGCTTCACGATTTGAGGCATAGCGTCACGTTTGTTGCTTGCACGGTAAGCCCTCTTTACGAGAGGTTGGTGAAGAAACTCGAACATGTTGGCGTTGTAGTGAACGGGGACACCGGAGCGTCGAATGTCATCGACCAAATGCACAAGGCCGTGCACCTTGCCGATGTTGAATTCAGATGCTTGAAATTCGCCAAACACATCCTTCAACATTGGAATCAACCTGACAAGAGAGGAGAGGGAGGAGAAAGGGAGGAGAGAGATGGGAGTGGAGGGATGAGAGAGAGGAAGAAGGGAGGACAGAGATGGGAGTGGAGGGATGAGAGAGAGGAAGAAGGGAGGACAGAGATGGGAGTGGAGGGATGAGAGAGAGGAAGAAGGGAGGACAGAGATGGGAGTGGAGGGATGAGAGAGAGGAAGAAGGGAGGACAGAGATGGGAGTGGAGGGATGAGAGGGAGGAAGCAGGGAGGACAGAGATGGGAGTGGAGGGATGAGAGAAAGGAAGAAGGGAGGACAGAGATGGGAGTGGAGGGATGAGAGAGAGGAAGAAGCGAGGACAGAGATGGGAGTGGAGGGATGAGAGGGAGGAAGCAGGGAGGACAGAGATGGGAGTGGAGGGATGAGAGGGAGGAAGCAGGGAGGACAGAGATGGGAGTGGAGGGATGAGAGAGAGGAAGAAGGGAGGACAGAGATGGGAGTGGAGGGATGAGAGAGAGGAAGAAGGGAGGAGAGAGATGGGAGTGGAGGGATGAGAGAGAGGAAGAAGGGAGGACAGAGATGGGAGTGGAGGGATGAGAGAGAGGAAGAAGGGAGGACAGAGATGGGAGTGGAGGGATGAGAGGGAGGAAGCAGGGAGGACAGAGATGGGAGTGGAGGGATGAGAGAAAGGAAGAAGGGAGGACAGAGATGGGAGTGGAGGGATGAGAGAGAGGAAGAAGGGAGGACAGAGATGGGAGTGGAGGGATGAGAGGGAGGAAGCAGGGAGGACAGAGATGGGAGTGGAGGGATGAGAGAAAGGAAGAAGGGAGGACAGAGATGGGAGTGGAGGGATGAGAGAGAGGAAGAAGGGAGGACAGAGATGGGAGTGGAGGGATGAGAGGGAGGAAGCAGGGAGGACAGAGATGGGAGTGGAGGGATGAGAGAAAGGAAGAAGGGAGGACAGAGATGGGAGTGGAGGGATGAGAGAGAGGAAGAAGGGAGGACAGAGATGGGAGTGGAGGGATGAGAGGGAGGAAGAAGGGAGGACAGAGATGGGAGTGGAGGGATGAGAGGGAGGAAGCAGGGAGGACAGAGATGGGAGTGGAGGGATGAGAGGGAGGAAGCAGGGAGGACAGAGATGGGAGTGGAGGGATGAGAGAGAGGAAGAAGGGAGGACAGAGATGGGAGTGGAGGGATGAGAGAGAGGAAGAAGGGAGGAGAGAGATGGGAGTGGAGGGATGAGAGAGAGGAAGAAGGGAGGACAGAGATGGGAGTGGAGGGATGAGAGAGAGGAAGAAGGGAGGACAGAGATGGGAGTGGAGGGATGAGAGGGAGGAAGCAGGGAGGACAGAGATGGGAGTGGAGGGATGAGAGAAAGGAAGAAGGGAGGACAGAGATGGGAGTGGAGGGATGAGAGAGAGGAAGAAGGGAGGACAGAGATGGGAGTGGAGGGATGAGAGGGAGGAAGCAGGGAGGACAGAGATGGGAGTGGAGGGATGAGAGAAAGGAAGAAGGGAGGACAGAGATGGGAGTGGAGGGATGAGAGAGAGGAAGAAGGGAGGACAGAGATGGGAGTGGAGGGATGAGAGGGAGGAAGCAGGGAGGACAGAGATGGGAGTGGAGGGATGAGAGAAAGGAAGAAGGGAGGACAGAGATGGGAGTGGAGGGATGAGAGAGAGGAAGAAGGGAGGACAGAGATGGGAGTGGAGGGATGAGAGGGAGGAAGAAGGGAGGACAGAGATGGGAGTGGAGGGATGAGAGGGAGGAAGCAGGGAGGACAGAGATGGGAGTGGAGGGATGAGAGAAAGGAAGAAGGGAGGACAGAGATGGGAGTGGAGGGATGAGAGAGAGGAAGAAGGGAGGACAGAGATGGGAGTGGAGGGCTGAGAGGGAGGAAGAAGGGAGGACAGAGATGAGAGTGGAGGGATGAGAGGGAGGAAGCAGAGAGGACAGAGATGGGAGTGGAGGGATGAGAGGGAGGAAGCAGGGAGGACAGAGATGGGAGTGGAGGGATGAGAGAAAGGAAGAAGGGAGGACAGAGATGGGAGTGGAGGGATGAGAGAGAGGAAGAAGGGAGGACAGAGATGGGAGTGGAGGGATGAGAGGGAGGAAGCAGGGAGGACAGAGATGGGAGTGGAGGGATGAGAGAAAGGAAGAAGGGAGGACAGAGATGGGAGTGGAGGGATGAGAGAGAGGAAGAAGGGAGGACAGAGATGGGAGTGGAGGGATGAGAGGGAGGAAGAAGGGAGGACAGAGATGGGAGTGGAGGGATGAGAGGGAGGAAGCAGGGAGGACAGAGATGGGAGTGGAGGGATGAGAGAAAGGAAGAAGGGAGGACAGAGATGGGAGTGGAGGGATGAGAGAGAGGAAGAAGGGAGGACAGAGATGGGAGTGGAGGGATGAGAGGGAGGATGAAGGGAGGACAGAGACAAGGCACAATCTAGGAAACAGATGGGGTTGAAAAGTGGTGAGAGAGATATAGTGACAGGTTCCGATTTTTGAAGAGATCAGATTGAACAAGGTAGGGATTAGATTGAGAAGTGATGATAGAGAGAAAGAAAGGTAAGACCGAAATGGGAGAGATAGGAATTGCAGAAATGGATGGAAGGTGTGGGCACGGAGTGGAATGAGAACAGAAACCAAATGGGAGAGAAGGCAGGGCAGAAACTCGGAGTACCTTTTGATTGCCTGGTCAAGTTCTTGGAGGGTGTTATCCGTATGGTACCACCTCCTGGAGGCCAGCATGTAGAGGTCGACAAATGCAGCTACAGCATCCACAATTTTTTTATCTACACGCCCGGCAAGGACAATCGTGCACACTTGCATGATGGCACGGTGTTCAAACGCCTGAAACTTTGCAGCACCTGCAAAGTAACCATCCTTCTCTCCACCCGGTAGCCGGAAACCACTGATTCGAGTATCACATGCTATTGTTTGCAGGGCCAAATCTAGCTCTCTCAGCACGTGTGTTTCCTTCCTCTTTTTTAGCATGGCTCGGATGCAGGAGATGATATGCATGAAGATGCCAAGATCAAGAGCATGCATGATCTCGATAAGTAGTGCCCCGTACGGGTTGCCGACATCGTCCAAGGCCAACCCCCATATTGCTGCCTGTTGAGGAACAAAGGGAGGGGAAAGTGATGGGTTGTGAAAGATATATCAGAAGAGGGGACCTGGCCTGGAAACTGAAAGGGATAGGGGTTGAGTAGGGCGTGGGTGACAGTGAAGAGATGCTGTAAATCTCTGTCCTCCCATCTCCCTCCCTCTCATCCCTCTCACTCCCATCTCTGTCCTCCCTTCTTCCTCCCTCTTTTCCCTCCTCACTCCCATCTCTCTCCTCCAAACTTCCTCCCTCTCTTCCCTCCTCACTCCCATCTCTGTCCTCCAGTCTTCCTCCCTCTCTTCCCTCCTCACTCCCATCTCTCTCCTCCAATCTTCCTCCCTCTCTTCCCTCCTCACTCCCATCTCTGTCCTCCAATCTTCCTCCCTCTCTTCCCTCCTCACTCCCATCTCTCTCCTCCAATCTTCCTCCCTCTCTTCCCTCCTCACTCCCATCTCTGTCCTCCAATCTTCCTCCCTCTCTTCCCTCCTCACTCCCATCTCTATCCTCCCATCTTCTTCCCTAAAAATCCCTCCTCACTCCCATCTATATCCTCCCTTCTTCTTCCCTCTGATCCATTCTCACTCCAGTCCTCGTCCTACCTTCTTCCTCACTCTCATCCCTCCTCACTCCCATCTCTGTCCTCGCTTCTTCCTCCTTCTCATCCCTCCTCACTCCCATCTCTGTCCTCGCTTCTTCCTCCTTCTCATCCCTCCTCACTCCCATCGCTGTCCTCACATCTTCCTCCCTGTAAATCCCTCCTCACTCCCATCTATATCCTCCCTTCTTCCTCCCTCTCATCCCTCCTCACTCTCAACTCTATCCTACCTTCTTCCTCTCTCTCATCCCTCCTCACTCCCATCTCTGTCATCTCGTCTCCCTCCCTCACCTTGACTGGGTGTATGCTCATGGCCTTTGCGGCATCATTCCGGGCAGTAAGTGTCGGTATTGCAAGTAACTCTTCGACCTTCTCCGCCTGACCCGCCTCCGTTCGGTACTCGGATGAAATCTCCATGTTGCTTATGTCCTCTCTTCGCACTAGACACCTGTGACACGGATATTGCGCTTGGTGGCTTGCAAAAGTGCCTGCCACCTTACATGCCTCCGGTTGGTCTGCAACGTAGGCATATAAGGCTAGGTAGACCTCATGATGTTCACCGAATGGGTCACGCATGATGATCCCACTGTTTGTGGAGTACCAAACAAAGCGAGGGGTGGGGCAGGGAAAAGGTGTACAGATTCAGCATGCGAGAGAAGGGAGAAGGCATGTGTCTGATGGACTAATGAGTTAAGAAGTGGTAGAAGAGAGAGAGAACGAGGGGTAGGAGGAAGAAGGGGGTTATCTGCATGATGTTCTTGTGTGGAGTGTAATGTGTGTGATAAGCAAGATAGAATGAGATGGAGAGGGGGGTGACAGAAAGAGGTGGGATGTGGGATGGGTAGGCTTGTCATGAATGTGTGTGTGATGGTAAAACGAAAGCATAGGTACAGTATGAGGGAGGTCATGAGACAAAGAGTGTTGTTGTTCGTTCTAAACACGTTCTTGGAGTGTGTAGGCAGGTGAGGGATTAAAAACAGAGGAACACGCATGATATTACATCTGATTTTGACACGGGATGAAAATCTACTGCTTTGGAAAGAGTAGGTGGCAAATGGATCAAATGTACAAGTTACCAACCTTTTAGAAGCCTCTCGGAAGTCTTGCATGATGCAATCCATGGCTTTTTGAAACACCACGCGGCGCGTCTCCTTCCCCGCTTCGGTTTTTGCATCCACGCCAGTCAAGGGTGGCAGCATGGCAATCATGATATGGCCATGCGGCTGCCATCTGTTCTTGACTGTAATGTTACCCAGCGTCATGTACACAGGATGCCCAACTACTCGTCCGTCAGTACTGAGGTTCGTCGCATCGCTGAATAGTATCACGGGCACCAGTATAGCACCTCTAGGCAGTAACGCTTGTGTTTCAATCCACATGTTCCCGGTCTCTGGTCCCGCGTAAATACGCTGCTTTCCGTCCGCTGTGTAAATTGGTTTCGCCCACAGGACAAATCCCTCATGATTCTTACGCTCAGCATTCCGGAAACCATCATCAGCGAAATCACTACTCGCAACCTGCGAGGCAACAAATGTAAATGTGCGATGAAAACAGATTGTGCGACACGTCGATTTCCCACACGCGTTCGCCGAAGCGGATCGAGTTGAAGTTTCCCGTCAGCAAGTTCCCGCTTACGCGAAAGATTCCGGGCAATATTCGCTGCCCGCTCAGGTCTCCGGAAAGGCGGTTCCGACTTAAATCAACAGCATTGCCTAACTTCAACAGCGCAGGGGGGATATTTCCAGTTAGCCTATTCGAGTTCAAACGTATCCCTGCAAGGTCCGGCAGCGTCGCGAGGGCAGCAGGGATCGGCCCGGACAGCCTATTATTCCCGAGATTCAGATTCCACAGCGTAGCCGCGTACGCAGCAGGGCGTTGCGGTAACCCGCCGGTGAAGAAATTATTGGCGGCGGACACATAGCTAAGCATCGGCGAGCGAAGAATGGCGGCAGGAAGAGGACCAGCGAAGCAGTTTTCGCTAATTTCAAGACTCGACATTTTCGTAAGCCGGGAAAACGATCGCGGGAAAGAGCCAGCAAGCCAGACATTCGTCAGACCGAGATCGGTGAGACCCGTCAACTGGCCGATAGAATTGGAGAGGGTTGCGGGGAACTTTCCGCCGGGTACGCGCGCAGTACGGTTGCAAAGGCGGGGCGTGGGTGGGGGGGGGCGCGAGGCTAGTGTTGACGATCATCGCGGAAAAGGGAGATGCGAAAAACAACTGAAAAGTTACTGCCCCGTAACTTTCCAGTTGCATTTCCCGCGCAAGAAAAAAGTTTGACTCGAAAACAGTGGTAGCGTCAGTAACTTGCAAAGTGACTTTCCCGTCACTGTACACTTCGATGCAATTGTCTGGTATACAGTAAAGCAACTACGGAGGTGGAAAACGTCACTTTCGAGCAACCCATGCGAAAGTGTCAGTACAACGCCACGTGGCATACGACGTATTCGAGATGAAACTCCAACATGCTGACGTGGCAGTCAGTGTACTCTAACGTCGACCGTCGGATCAGATTAAGGTCGACGGAAGTAAACGTGACAAATGGCCCAATCATGTAGCGTTTTTTTTGTGCGTTTCCAGGTTTTTATTGGCTGACAAAATTTCCAGTAGCGTCGGTTTCGATACGCACTTAACAGTAATAGCTGTATATACTAGAGCACATAGATTTTCATACCAGTAAAAAAGTAACAAACGTTGCATACAGAACAAACAACAGTTGTATCTACTCAATCGCACAAGACATACTAATCCAAAACTGACAAACAAAGCGAAACCAAGTAGTAAAAACACGAACGTAATATGTTGCTCCTGTTTATTGAGATTGCCTGCGAGATAGCATAGGAAGTAAGAGCTCGTGAAAAACGCAGTGTATGCAGTTCCGTACTCACCTGAAATAATCGTTGATGGTTTGGAAAAATGCTTTTATGGCTAAAATAAAACAAACTGCGCATTTGGTTGAAGGTAAGCCTGCAAAACCAGGTCCACCCTGCAAAACATTCAAACACAGGGTGCTGTTTCGCATCCCGCTGACTTCGCGACAGCGGGGTTAGTAAAGGCAGATTTTGTAAGACACCAAAAGTCAAATACTTAGCCTTAGCAATCGTCGCGTGGCCACATGGCAAAAAACTGATGATATCGCGTCGCTACTTGCGTGCATGCCCAAAGCGAGAAGGCTGACACCCTAGACCAAATCCGTTGACTTGGTATGCTGTTTCGACTGCCTTAGTCGCAACATATCGGTCTTCGCGACGATGGCTGCTACGCACGAAATGAATATAGGAAACGTCACATTGAGAGGAGTATGAACCTGAAGATACCTCCACGATAAAATAACATAAGGACAGCTTCACCTGCAAGATGAGAACTGTAAACGTACCTGCGATGTTGCGTGACAATGTCTTTCCCCGCCGTGACGCACGTGTTACCCAGCAGCCAGCGCAGCTACTACAGCGAGACGTTGATGGCGGAAGGAAGCTGCCGTATGAAAAGGGGAGAGTTGTGCAAAAGGGACAGTGTTGAAAAAAAAAATAGGATACTGACATGGCGAACGCAACATAGTCAGGACGTTCTAAAACATAACATAGTTATCGGCTTGAAGGTACTTTGAGCTTGCATCTGATGAACGTCAAAGGGAAAAAAAAAATAAGGGGGGGGAAGAATAAGGTTGGTTGAGTGGTACTGGGACTACAGGCGTAGAGGGGAATCGTGGGAGAAAGATTCTCGTGGGAAGGTGAGGGCATTTTCGGTGGACGTTTGGTTTGCCTAGGTTGGGTTGGCTGACGTGTATATTTCGGCGTGTGCGGATTGGATGAAAATGATTTTTAGGGTCACACGTTGTCAGGCTTATATGACTTAGCCTATGTAGGCTATAGTGGGGTAGCACATATGGGGTACAACACATTTCTAGGGTTTGTACTTGTACCCAACTTTCCCTTAGTCATTCTCATTCCTCGTTTCTTATCATGGTATCGAGCAGGTTCCCTAGTGGGAACGCTTCCTAGGGCCCACCACGATATTTTTTTTCCTGCCCGGAGCGCGCTTCGCTCCTGCCCGAGTCGCGCTCTGTGTGCCCTCCCTACCGTTGCGCCCTCTCACGGCCCCTTCGCGTCGCCTTTAGCGGCCCCTCTCACGGCCCCTTCGCCGTCCTTACGGCCCCTCGCGCCGCCCTCTACGGCCCCTCGCGCCGCCCTTACGGCCCTTACGGCCCTCGCGCCGCCCTTACGGCCCCTCACGCCGCCCCTTACGGCCCCTCACGCCGCCCTTACGGCCCTCGCGCGGCCCCTTCCGGCCCCTCGCGGCGCCCTTACGGCCCCGTCGCCGCCCCGTCTAGGCCCCTTGCGGCCCCTCTGCGGCCCCGTCTAGGCCCCTTGCGGCCCCTCTGCGGCCCCGTCTGGGCCCCTTACGGGGCCCCTCTGCGGCCCCTCTGCGACCCCGTCGCCGCCACCTGCGGCCCCGTCGCCGCCACCTGCGGCCCCGTCGCCGTCACCTGCGGCCCCGTCGCCCTCACCTGCGGCCCCGTCGCCGTCACCTGCGGCCCCGTCGCCCTCCCCTGGAGGCCCCGTCTCCGCCCTTTGCGACCCCGTCACCTCCCCCAGCGGCCACGTCGCCTCCCCTACCGGCCCCGTCACCGCTTAGCCGCCCAGCGACCGAGCCGCCGAGCCGCCCAGCAGCTGAGCCGCCCACCAGCCGAGCCGCCGAGCCGCCCAGCAGCCGAGCCGCCCAGCAGCCGAGCCGCCGAGCCGCCCAGCAGCCGAGCCGCCCAGCAGCCGAGCTGCCCAGCAGCCGAGCCGCCGAGCAGCCGAGCCGCCGAGCCGCCGAGCCGCCCAGCAGCCGAGCCGCCCAGCAGCCGAGCCGCCCAGCAGCCGAGCCGCCCAGCAGCCGAGCCGCCCAGCAGCCGGGCCGCCCAGCAGCCGAGCTGCCGAGCCGCCGAGCCGCCCTACTGTCGAGCCGCTGCTGTTCCTACCGGTGCGCTCCGACCCTACTTACTCGGACTGGTGAGATCACTCCCTACTAGGCCACTGCAGTCATGGCTACCCCCAGTGTCCTTACCTTTGATGCTGAGGGCCGTGCCGTTGACTTTGAGGTCTGGGTCGATGACCTCCAGCTGTTTCTCCAGTGCGATAGGGCAGACGGACTCTCTCTGTTCGATCTCACCTCTGGTGTCTCTCCCGCCCCGCCTGCTACTGCTGACAGCACTATTCGCTCACAGTGGGCCACACGCGATGCTGCTGCTCGCCTTGCTGTGCGTCGCCACTTACCGACCGCTGAGCGTGCGCACTTTAGCCAGTACAAGAGTGCTAAGACCTTGTACGACGCTGTAGTTGCACGCTACTCCTCCCCTGCCACTGCTGCTCTTAGCCGCCTCATGCTGCCGTACCTGTTCCCTGACCTTGCTGCCTTTCCCACAGTCGCTGACCTCATCACTCACCTTCGCACTAGTGACATTCGCTACCGCGCTGCGCTTCCTGCTGAGTTCTGCGCCAAGAAACCCCCCCCCATGTACATCACCCTCTACTACATAGTCACCCGGCTCCCTGACTCCCTTCGCTTAGTCAGGGACCACTTCCTCTCAGTTTGCCCCACCA